TGCGAGTCATTGCATCCCGTGCATATACAACATGCATACATAAATATATTTGTGTGTATGAACGTATATGTGTGCTTAAGTATGCACAGTATATATATAATATATATATTTTGCAATCGGTACCACCTCATGCAAGGTAGTAAATCTACAAGGAGTTACGGGATGTGGATGAATTAGGAACAGAAATATTAATAATGAGCGAGAAGGGGAAAGAGTAATCAGAAAGACAGTAGATAGTGATTGACATTGCATTTGCAGATTAAAGTTGGATAGAAAGCATGCAACTGGAAGGGAAATCTACAAGCGATAAGTGCAAGAAAAGGAACTGTTAGTCTAAAATTTACGGTTACATCTAGCCAGCTTAACTGTAAATTCATGAGATCTCGACGCCTGTCTAGTACAGCGCTTAAATTCAGAAGGTCTAGATAGCATAGTGAAGAGCTTTTCCGAAAGAATTACAATGAAAGTATTTATAGAAAAGACTCAGAGAAGTAACTTTACGGCGGTAGGAAAGTGGCTGAAGCCGAGACACCAGATCAGGACCAATAATATTGCTGATTCTTCTTTGGATTTTATCAAGGAGCTGAAGGTAAATAGCAGGGGCACCGGATCATATATGACACCAATATTCTAAGTATGGGCGAATGGTAGACTTATAGATATGTAAGATAGATTCTGGCGAGAAAAATTGTCTTGAACGACACAGTGAACCGACTTTCTTAGCAGCTGACCTAGCAATGGATTCAATATAGTCGTTCCACTTCATGTCAGCTGCAACGTGAGCTCGAGAAGGTGCAACGAATCACTCTCCTGGAGGTTAGCATCTACAAAAACTAGAACTTTGAAAAGTGATGATTTTATTGAAATATGTTGGAAAATGTCCAATTTTTCATCTGAAATCTAAAAAAAATATGAACTTTAAGCAAAATACAGACCTATATCTTTAAACACGCACCCTTGGGACAAAGCAAAAACATAGTCTTGCCTAATCATTCCACACACACACACACACACACATATATATATATATATATATATATATATATATATATACATACATATGTGTGTGTGCTTGCGCGCAAGAATGTGAATGTGTGTTTGTAGGGGTATCCGGTAAATTGCTCAAATCCAATTGCTCGACAGTACATTGCTCGAAATTAATTGCTCGAAAAATAATTTCTCGAACTATCAATTGCTCGAAACCTGTGGTTAAAAAAATAGAACTACATTGTTTCTAATATTTACTATAAGATAAAATAATACAACTTTATTGCTGTTAACTGAACAGTTAAAATTAAAGAACGAGTCCATTTATATAGCAGGTCTTTTTTTTTCTCGAAAGCCATCCAAACACAACTTCTTCTTTCCTTTTTCGCTCCCAACAAAAGTTATGTCCATCACTAGGGTTGGAGATCTCCAAAATTGCTGAAATAGAAATAGAAAACAAATATAGTAAAAAAAATGCTAAATTTGAGTGTTGTGGCTCCTTTTATATCCAGCTCCGTTGACGTGTCGTGAGACGGAGCAGTTTACTTGGTGCTTCCAGCTTCGAAATTACTTCGAGCAATCTACCTTTCGAGCAATTTACTGATATAATGGAATATGCATACATTTGAGACCCCCCTCAATGGAATATGATTGGCTGGTGTCCGTCATAAATACAGACGGCCGTGTAGGTACGGCAGAGTTTAAGTCTATGACGACGCCCATTGGCCTACGCCATTGTCTATCCTATTGGTCTACACCTATTACCTGCGACTACGACGAGTACCAGTCGATTACTGTTATGGTTACAGTAGCTAAGATCCACTTAGCTACTTCGATCAAATATATCCGTTTCCGGGACATATCATTTACCTAGATTCGTTTGTAGGATATATATAATATTATCCGAAACAAAAGAGATGATGATGAGACAGAATAAAAAAGAACTATTAACGACGCGTTTCGCCAGAGCATCTTTTTGGCTTCTTCGGGGTAGAAAGATATAATTGTGTGCAAGTGAAAATGCGTTGGTGTCTCTGAGGATAAGTTGTAGTCATGAATCAAATTAAATTAGATATATCACCTGAAGAAGACCGGAGCGTAGAACGTGAATATGACAATAAAGACAAGAACGACAGTTGAAACAATGTAAATAATGTAAATAGTTACAATACTTCATCTCAGAAATATAGACAGATAAATTAGAAATCTTATCACCTCCAATGTTCAGAACTTAAAGAGTGTCTGGCCGTCTGTTGTTTGTGTGTTTGTTCTATATGTATGCTATTGTTCTACTAATAACTAAAAGTAAAACAGCAACGAACTGATTAAAAAAAGTATCGGTCCATTGGAGTTTCCAGACCCCAGAGTAAAGAGGCCGGACTCTAGTCATAAGAATAAGTAAGGAAAAATGAAGACTTCAGGAGAATATAAGATATATAAACAAATATGTTTTATGTTGTTTCTTAAACACTTCCGTTTTATGGTAAAGCACGCTGAAAGCTTCTGTCCTTGTGACGTACGAAGCAAATTTGACAAATCAAGTGTTAGGAACATCAGGTCAGTCAGCAGCTTCTCTGCTTTGTGTCCTAGAAAGTAACCTGTGTCAAATCAACTCTTATGACGGATCGGCAGCTTGTAGCCTCGCGTCCTACTTAGCAGCCTTTGACAAATGAACTTTTAGGATCAACAGATTCAGTAAGCAGCTTATTCGTCTTGTGTCAGACAAAACGACCCTTTATAATCAATGACCACCAGATTCGATCGGCAGATTTTTGCGTAGTGTCGTACTAAACAGCCATTGGCAAATTAACTCCTTGGAAGAAGTGGTTCAGTGAGAAGCTTGTTGCTATGTGTCAAAAAAAAAACAATAATGATTAAAAAAATACTACTGCGTTTCATGTTTCGTTTTTGTTTAAGCAAAGTTTGATAGAGGCGCAATGGAGTAATGGATAGCGGTTCGGATGGATGAATAATAGGTTCGAATTCAGTCGAATCCATTACATCTACTTACGTGCTAATCCTCTTCTTTTTCCTCCAGCTATGGGTAAATGGCAGGACAGACCGGGTTCTGGTCTTTCCTGCTTGGATGGCAACTGGTATACCGCAGAAAGATATGGCAACCTACTGCGGGAAAATTATCTGCATTGTTAGTCATATATCGAAAGATACATGATCGCCTAAGCGTATATCACTGACTGAAGGTTGATTTGTCGTTTTTGTTCCGGGCGATATTTCCTGATACATTTGAGTGATATCACTTATTTTCTACATTTTTTTTTTTGTTTTTTTGACTGCACCAATACTTTGTGCAGCAGTGAACATTATATAAAAATGTCGAACCGACCGGAAAAAATAAAAATACAGATTTACCCACTTAAGTGTAAAATATTCTAATTAGGGGCGTTAATCACTAAAACAGTTTCAGTGATTATACATCTAATTGTCATTTTATACTGGAAAATTCCAAAGAATTCCCTAAGGTTCTCCTCATACGCAGTAACTTTCTTTTTATGCCATTGAATATGTCTCACTTCAATGCCTTTATGTTGGAAGGCATTAAGAGATTTTAATTATGCCTCCTGAAGTTTATAATTCAATTAATAAAATTAATGTTCAGGTGGCTTTCAACTTTTAAAGTGGGGTTAGTAATTTCACACTCTCCCCACCGAAGAAACTAACTACACTATCTAAGCAAATACAGTCAGTCAGTTATTTGCTATACGAGATACACGCTTTCGACACATGACTGACGAGGCAGATTTTTTCCCGTAGTAGGTTGCCATTTCTTTCTGCGGTAGACCAGTAGCCACCCAAGGCTATAGAACCCGGTCTGTCCGGTTATTTACCCATAGCTGGGAGGAAGAAAAGGATTCATACCTTTCGTAAGGGTATTAGCATGAAATGAATGTAATGAATTCGAACTCGGCTCTCCGATTCCTCAATCCGAGTCGCTACCCATTACTCCACCGTGCCTCCTCCTTCCTTATAGCTTGTCCAAGCTGGTCAGAGCTGGTCTAAGCTCGTCATAGCTGCTGCTCCTAAGCTGGTCAGATCCGGCCTAATCTAATCATAGATGTGATATCAGCAGCGCAGGGACAGATACCTTTGACCGGTAAGTATCAGAATGTGTATACCATTCAAGAGAGCGGTTTACACACCAGGTAAATACAATGGGAGCATACTGAAGATATTGCAACATTGGTGACAAGATGGATTTAAAATCATATATTCAAAAAAATAAGAGAGGAAAACGAAATTCCGTTAGAATATCAACAAAATGATTGTAATAAAATCCGTTGAAAGGTACATTCTATACTGACAGACATGGTGATTGAAAAGTAACTCCCTATTTTATGTATGATGGACTCTCCCGTCTTGTAAAAATTAGAGTTACACGGGAGAGTCCATTACACATAAAATAGGAAGTTACTTTTCAATCATTCTACCTATATAGTGATTTTCCAAGCGCAGCTTAGATGTGGCACAAGGCCAAAAGTAGGTGGTACCCAGTGAGGATCGAACTAACTACTCAGTCGTAATTGTTCTAGCGAAACAAACTTGTTAACCATTACATTGCATCGAGGTGCCCAAGCATCCTAGCAATATGTAACCAAACTTGTACAATGTGTAAGCTCTCAATTCTGCATCAGTATGGAACGAAACACCACGCCAAGAGATTGAAAGAGGTGAAAATCCTATTGGTGCCAAATCGGAAGAGTATGGCGGGTGTGGCAGCACTTCCCAGCCATGCGTTTGAATGTCTTCCTCGGTCATATTGATGATATAAGGGCAGACATTGCCGTGCAACAAAAGAACTCCATACTGCCGATTAAGTCTTTTCTCCTGAATAGCCGTGTTGAGTCGTTCCATCTGTTGAACTTAGAATTCCGCGTTGACCGTTTGGTTTCGTTCAAGCAATTCGTAATGAATAATCCCTTCCCAGTTCCACCATACGCACAACATCGTTTTACGCGGATGAAGATCTTGTTTCACGCGCGGTGTCGCTTGTTTACCGGGGCTAAGCCCTTTTTTGCGCTGCTTCGTATTGATGTACAGGCACCATTTTTCGTTGCCAGTGACGATTCGGTAAAGAAATCGTTGCTTGTGTCCATGAGTTGAGCCTTGATGAGCAAGCAAACCAGCGGAGATTGTGGCTCGTTGATTTTTGTTGTTGCCACTTAAAGTATGTGGAACTCATGCTCCACATTTCTTAAACTTTTACCATCGAGTAAAGATGCTTCTCTATAGCATTCCATTTTCTCTTGTCGTTTTCTCGTGCAAAAGTTGGTTTAATCGATGGCCAGAACGAGATGAATCTTTCGATGTTTGAACTTGGCATACCAATCACGAGCGTCCCTTTCAGCTATGGCATCCTCTCCATACACAGCACAAATGTTGCGAGCAGCTTTTGCGGCCTTAGAACCTTGATTAAAAGCAAATTGAAGGAGGTGTCGAAAATTCTCATTTTTCTTAATTTGACATTCCATTTTTATGATCTGAAAATAAACAAAAAAACAAAAAAAAATCAAAATAAACTCCAAAATAGAATTCTCGAAAACATAGATTCCAAAATTTAAAAACACAATAGATTCCAAAATTTAGAAACACAATAGATTCCAAAATTAAAAAAAAAACGGCTGGAACTTAGCTGCCAACTCAATATATATCATAATTCTTTTTGTTGCTCCTGTCATTTAGTCAGCATGTGCGTACGTCCGGTGATAACTTGCTGTCCATTGCCTATAAATTTGTTTGCCTGTCCCCTGCCGACATATTCTTGGTATAGCAGCAGCGCACAGGGTAGATCTCTAACGCTTTTTTTTAACTTGTGTCAAGTCTTATTTTAGAGCGTCTTGAAGCGGTATATATGTGTTTCTAGAAAGAGATAAAAAAGAAAGAAAGAAAGAATGAAAAAGAGAGAGAGAGAGAGAGAGGAAATATACATGAAGCGGGGACGTCTGTTTGCGTTTAACGTCTGCTTCAGTGAAACAGTATAGTAATCTGAAATATGTTAGACCGAAATGATTAGCAAAAAGCGCGGGATTTCAACTGGTCTCGCTCTACAAGATTATAAAAATAGATATAAAAAAACTATTTGAAAAATTATTATTTATAAGGTGATATCCAGTCTATGACTGTATAACTATCTAATGAATTCTTACATGTCCTTTTAAAATGTAAAAACTATATGTCCAGTGCAAACCTGACAATCGTAGAATTTCTATGGATCCAGGTAGAATAGATGTATCATTTTTAATATTGTTTTATTTCCTTTGATTTCTGGTGTTTACTCATTTCTTTCCGGGTCTTGCCCAGTGACCTAATGTCAGAAATGGCACCATGACATTTTTCACTGGAAATTAACATTTTATATAGATAAAGTCCTTCAATGAGTCTATTGGAATCTTTTCCAACCAATCCTAGGGCTCCAACTTCAACAGGGATTGTTGATATTCTCATGCGCCACATTTTTGAGATTTCGATTTCAAGGTCCTTGTATTTTGATAGCTTTTTGAAGTTCTTCAAAGATACATTGCTGTCTGCAGGGACTGCCATATCAATAAGGAGGCACTTTTTTTGTTTGCGGTCTCTAATAACATTGTCTGGGCGGTTAGCTTTGGTTGTTCTGTCTGTGTGTATTGTGTAGTCCCATAAATATGTTATAGTTCCTATCTCCGTAACCGGGTTTGGGTGGTGTTCATACCAATTTCTTTCAGTTTCTTTTCCGTAGAAGTTTCAAATTTTCCAGTGCAGATATTGGCCCACTCTGTCATGCCGTGTTTTATATTCAGTGAGTATTATTATTATTATTATTGCTTTAAACGTTATATTTAGTTACATATGTTTGATTAGATATGCTTGATATCTTTTAAACAGTGGAAATCTATGTCTAACTGTTTGTGCCTTCAAGAGTTTTAACGTGTGACCCTGTGTAGGGAAAACAGACGTGTAGCTCCAAGAAGACTTTCACAACTAAGCAAAGTAAAATTACCATATTTAAGACATGCACTCTCTCTCTCTCTCTCTCTCTCTCTCTCTCTCTCTCACCCCATATCTTCTAAATTTTATTGTACAGGGCGGTAGACATATTTGAAAAACAGGAATGTCTAATCAAACACGTGTATCCACTAAATATATCATTTAAAGTAATATGAAATATTGAAGGATTATAAATATTGATCATTTAAAGACAGTATATATCTAGAAAACCGGAAGTCAAATTGGCAACAGTTGAAAGGAAAGACAAAAAAGAGAAAAAGAGAGAAAAGTTTAAGGACTCAGGGTAAATTGAAAAAAAAAAGACGAAAAGGACAAATATCATGACATTCTACACGTACCCACATACGCGCAGACGGGAGCTTGGGCACACGCTCGCGAACGAAGACATGCACTATAAAAATAAACTGCACCATTGAAAAGGGCATATGAAAAAGAAAAGATCGAGAAGTATAAGCAGTCAATTGCTGATAATCCCTGACGAGTCGACGTAGTTATTACCGGAAGGTCCATCTTCGAGATTCTGCAATCGAGATGTTGAAAGTAACATCAATCAGCAAAGTGACAAACCTTTTACTTGTATTAATTCTCTCTCTCCCTCTCATATATATATATATGCATCTCATTATTAAGAATTTCATATTTTAGCGATATATAATATGAACGTTTATTGGAATATAAACATCTACGTGCGCAGTAAGTATTAAAGTCGGTTCGTTCTGCACAGAAAGCTGTTATTTATATGAAATGTCTTGCATTTCGTGGTCTCAAATTACTACACATGTTGTGTGCTTGAAGCTTTAAAATGATCCCGATGGTTTGTTCGACAGATAAAGAGAAACGTTTTATAACTTAAAAAAGATAAGCCTATAAATAGAAGAACTTTTCATGTAGAATCAAACACTGCAGGAGCTTACTGAAGATCTTAGACGAGCCCATACGCATGTCAGATAACAGTAACGTGAGGACCTAACCCACTGATATGTGCTCCTGTGTGAAATGGGAAATTATCTTAAAAATACCACTTTGTCAAGTTAGAAAATTTTTTCGATGTTCTAGTAATCGGTAATGCCATCCATACAATATTCGAAAGACATAGACAAGGGAAGACTAAGACAGATATGGTACTCAATATATATATTTTGTTTTAAACATTTCAGTACAAGAAAGGCGATAATTCCCCTAAGACGCAAGGAGTTACTGAGAGTGAAAGAGAAGGAGAAAACTTCAGTGATGAGAAAGGACAATAAAAGACTTCAGGAAGACAAACTATTGTGATTAAGGTTGCATTTAAAGTTCGTGGGTGATAAGGAAAGAAAATAAAAACTGAAGAGAGTTTCATAGGCGAGAAAAGAAATTATAAGAATAGAATTTACAGTTACATCAAGCTAATTCAACCGTAAAATAAGGTATATATATATATATATATATATATATATATATATATTTAAGCATTGTGCCCCAAGCAAGGCGTGAAGCCACTAGGATGCAGGGGGTTTGGAGCGAGAGCAGATAAGAGTGCTAGGAGAAAGGAAGAGGAGAAGGATAGTGGGTAGATCAAGGTAATTGGAGGTGTCGATTGACATTACATTTGAATAGTTGGAGATTATACCTTTCAGGGAAACAGTAATTGGGGAGGGTGTCCCACTGGCGAGAGGTGCGAGGTATGAAGCTATTGGAGTAGAAGAGACGGCTACATTTGAAGGTTTCTACGGTGTAAGGGTGAGAGCGGGATGCCAGCCTCGTAGGGCGCTTGAATTCATGGAGTCTGGGAACCAGAGAGAGCAGCTCATCAGAGCAGTTACCATGGAAGTATTTGTAGAAAAAGACAGAGAGAGGCGACGGTGCGTCTGTGAGAGAGTGACTGCAAGCAAGACGCTAGATCAGGGCCAATTAGATTACATATCCTTCTCTGGATCTTGTCGAGAACTCCGAGGTAAGCGGAAGGTGCTCCAGCCCATATATGGCAGCAATACTCCATGCAAGGGCGAATGGTTGTTTTATATATTTGAAGTATCGATTCAGGGGAAAAAATTTCCTGGCGCGGCACAGAGAGCCAACTTTCCTCGCGGTGGAAGAAGCAATTGACTGAAAGTATTTGTTCCATCTCAGGTCAGCAGTCAGCGTGAGACCGAGCAGACGCAGGGAGTTGCTCTCTGGAAGTTGACTATCAGACATTTTAATGGGGGGCAGGGAAGGATCTCTATGGTGGTTAATGGAGAGTAATTTAGTTTTAGTGGCGTTAAAGTTGACCAGCCAATTCTTGCCCCAGTTAACAACCGATTGGAGGTCCATTTCAAGACGCACGGCCAGGTTAGATTTGTCGCCGACACTAGACTTGTTTTTGAGGCATGAGTAAATTGTAGTGTCGTCTGCATAGATGCCGACCTGGGAATCTATAGCTTCAGGAAGGTCGTTGATGAAAATGAGGAAAAGAGTGGGGCCAAGGATATATCCGAAGTAGAATCAGAAAATTCTCAGACGATCCGTAAATGTACGCGTAACTAACGCTCATTCGTACCCAGTCTGCGGAGTCAGTCTACCAACAGGCTCTGTGTTATCTACAAAAGTTCAGTAATTACGCAAAAATGTTTAACGTTGTTTTGGAACGGCTCTGTGATCTTTACCGTTCGTGTAAATTTCGAGCAACAAATTTTGCGTGTTAGTCGACAAACCAGTTAAGGAAATGCTATGAATGTTTTTGTAACGTTGTGTTGGAACGGATCTGTGTACTTTACAATTGGTAATTTGAGCAGCAAATTTTGCGTATTGGTTGATACATCTGCTCAAACTGCTATGACTGACTTTGGGAGAACATTATAATTTTTAACACATGTTTTTGATTTGGATTGCGTTTCAAGGCTGTTCGAGTAACCGTTCAAGGTGATTAGAATATATGGCCATCAATCACAGCACAGTATTTGCGAAAATAACCGTCGTAATTAAACGATCAGTTATCGCAAATGAGCGGAATCAGCTCTGGAATCTGGTACGAGATCCTAGTAGTCGAATATTCTGATATTACCTCATATTTAAATATAGGTTTCAAATAAATTGTTAACGTTAGATCATACAGTTAGCAAAGGAAAATGCATAAAAATAAAGCCCTTCATGT